TATTCAAAAAACACATATTTACATGAGTGCTAAATTTAAAACATGAGACGCAAATACGGTACGTGGACACCAACGTGCTCAGTTTTGCTATAAATAATATACAAACTAGGTAAGGCTCACACAGTTGACTCGATAGAATAGATTTTGGATAATTTATCTTTTTGACTGACTTATATACATGTACACGTTCATTATATAAGTGCGATACAAACTCATTGCATATTAAGTAAACTTGCGTGCAAAGATTTGAATTATAAAGGAGTAAACGAGAAGTATTTTCATCATTTTTAATCTTTCTCATCATTGCATATTATTGTATTGAGAAGTAATTAACATTCGTTATTTTTTTTCGGACCGATAATCCTAGTCGTTTGCTCGCTATGATTGGCTAGCGCGCGGTCTGGTAATTCACGATCTGCCTATTCCAGAACTGGACCCTCCTTTATCCTTGCGCCGCAGAGAAACTATTATTRAAATAACCTTTTATTTGAATCAACGTTCTCAATTTTCTTGAGCGCTTGCTTTGGATTTTTAACTTTTACTTTAAGTATAATATTATAGTAATTGAGAAAAGAGGGTCCAGTTCTGTACTACAATAAATCTGCCCGGTGTTTTTAAATAGTGAGTGTTTTTAATTAGTCCACTGTTGATTAGTAACTACTAGATGGATTTGGGGCAAAAAAATATAATTATACATGTACTGCGGTTTTGTTTCCAAAAAAAGGTAATTGCATACAATTTATTTTCTTTGATGATCTGATTAGAAATAAAATATTGCTGGAGCAATGGCGTTTAGGTGAAGCCAAAATATAACAACAGTACAAAAAATTAACACTCATGTAAATAGGTGTTTTTGTTTAAATAATAAAGATGTAAATGGATTGTACCACAAAATGGAAAACAACTCTATTTAATTTCAACACGATATTAAATCAATATAAAATATAGACACCTCAGCGGTTTTTAATTATAGCTTCTTTTGCGGGACCCCTGATACTAGGTTGTTGACATTTTGGCTTCGACGTAAATCGCAATTATTTATTTACAATTATTTGCTGCAATCAAGTAAAATGTCGGTCTCTACAGCTATTGCGACTTGAAAAGAACACAAAGTATGTACAAGAAGTTATCGAAGTCGAGATTTAGAGCATGGTGGGTGATTTCGACTAATGATCGAACACTTACTGATGCAAAGGCGTATAACGGACCGAATCTTTACACAATATGCAAATTTCACCTTTTTTGTTCGTGTTAAATCAAATCTGTATCTCTTCTTTTCTATTTTCAGGTTAACTCGGCGAATTATCCAGTTTAGAACACGATGTTCAATCTTTGACACGATTGGTAACAAAAACAAGATTTGCATATACTAGTCTTAACAAAATTATCTGTTTAAATTCAAATTCGCCTCCCAATGAAAATATTTTACATCAAAACACGACAATAGATTCTTATAGTTTAAATGAAGTCAATTAGAGTCTGTTTAAAGGAGTCTAACTGGTATTTTGTATGGGTTAATTCCATTGAATTTTGTGATATTTTCGAAATAGGGTGAACTAAATGCGTCATATCTTTTAAGATTAATGAGTGCCCACCAATGTTTTTAATGTTTTGATAACTAGAGACATAGATCTAATTGGGAAACAGTCATTTTTTTTAAAAATCGATGTGCATTTTCAAAATATGGGCCCCAAAACTACACAAATTTTCAATAAATTCAAAATTGGAAATTTTTGTGTTCAGTCATGTGGTTGCTATGGCAACGGATTGACAGATGTTTCCATCTGTATACCTGATATCAGTAACTGAGATGTATATCTTGTATGTCAAGAAGTTTGAGGTTGCTGTGAATAACCGTTACACTTTTATGCTTCTGCAAAGTTGAGGTTAATTTGTGCAATTTTTGTGCTAAAAATGGCCATTTTCCAGGGGGGAACCTAACTTCCCCCCCTTTTGACCGATCTCAAAAAAAATATAGAATGTCAAATAACTTACTAAATGCAATAAGTGTGCCAAGTTTCAGGAGAATCGGCTGACCCCCATGTAGCACCCACTGCCTGGTTTTGCCTGGTTTTCTCGTGGACNAGATTTGCATATACTAGTCTTAACAAAATTATCTGTTTAAATTCAAATTCGCCTCCCAATGAAAATATTTTACATCAAAACACGACAATAGATTCTTATAGTTTAAATGAAGTCAATTAGAGTCTGTTTAAAGGAGTCTAACTGGTATTTTGTATGGGTTAATTCCATTGAATTTTGTGATATTTTCGAAATAGGGTGAACTAAATGCGTCATATCTTTTAAGATTAATGAGTGCCCACCAATGTTTTTAATGTTTTGATAACTAGAGACATAGATCTAATTGGGAAACAGTCATTTTTTTTAAAAATCGATGTGCATTTTCAAAATATGGGCCCCAAAACTACACAAATTTTCAATAAATTCAAAATTGGAAATTTTTGTGTTCAGTCATGTGGTTGCTATGGCAACGGATTGACAGATGTTTCCATCTGTATACCTGATATCAGTAACTGAGATGTATATCTTGTATGTCAAGAAGTTTGAGGTTGCTGTGAATAACCGTTACACTTTTATGCTTCTGCAAAGTTGAGGTTAACTTGTGCAATTTTTGTGCTAAAAATGGCCATTTTCCAGGGGGGAGCTTAACTTCCCCCCCTTTTGACCGATCTCAAAAAAAATATAGAATGTCAAATAACTTACTAAATGCAATAAGTGTGCCAAGTTTCAGGAGAATCGGCTGACCCCCATGTAGCACTCACTGCCTGATTTTGCCTGGTTTTCTCGTGGACACACTCTTAATAGATTTGGATCAAGCTCAAGCACTAGAAAAAAGAACCATTSTTCAAGGAGAATGTTCTGAGTGGATAGAACAACACAACTTTAGACTGACCTCTTCAAACTTTGRAAAAGTTTATTTCAGAGTCAAAACCCCAACAAATGCAATGCTGAACAGCATATTTGAGAATCAAGATTTATCAAAAGTTAAATCAATTAATCATGGAAAAATGAAAGAAAAAATTGCAAGAATGACATATGCACATAAAATGCAAAATAAACAAAAGCACTTTGCAGTATTTGATGCAGGGATTACTGTAAGTCCATCTACTCCATATCTAGCTGCAAGCCCTGATGGCAAAATTTTTGACCCATCAGGCAGCTCAAAATATGGACTTCTTGAGATCAAATGCCCTTTCTCAAAAAAAGATGAGACTTTAGAACAAGCAGCTGCAGATCCAAACTTCTATCTTAAACTAAATGAAGATGGAAACTTTTACTTGAAGAGTGAACATCGGTCAGGCTATTTTGCTCAAGTCCAAGGGCAGCTAGCATTAACAGGTCTGGAATGGTGTGACTTTTGTGTTTATTTATCACAAAGTAATGAGATGTGCGTAGACAGAATATATTTTGATCAAGATTATTGGTCACAAGAACTATTTCCAAAGCTTAAAGAATTTTACATGAAACATGCTTTACCTTTTCTTGTTGAAAGAGAACATGATATTTAACAGTATGTTAAGGTTTGAGGTGTATGTACACCTTCTGCAAAGCAAGATATTACAAAAGGGCTCCTTAGTTATTTGCTAAATATTTATTTAATATTTTAAATATTTAGTTAATTAGTTATTTGCTCTGAATATTGTGCTCATGAAAAATGCTGTAATGTCTCATCTTTAATGTTTAGTCTTGTTCTAATGCCAGTACAGGATTCTGGAAATTAGATAGAAAACTTGCAATAGTCCATATTTGGTTAATTGTCCCAAACATTGCTACTGGAATATCTGACTTAAAAATTTTAAACCTCCTTATCTTTCCAATGGCTCTCTCAACATGGATACGATGCTTTGCTATAGTTTGTGTTCTGATCACATCCTCCTCCTGAAAGCCAACCTTATCTTTTAAGAATGGGGGAATGTTCAGCTCTAGTCCAAGCTTTTGTAAATCTTCCTTAATGTCAAACCCCTTGTCAGCCATGATGGAATCTTTCTTTTTTATTTCACCAGCTTCAACCTTTTTTTCAAGAACATCAAGTAATCCAGATCTTTTAACAATTTCTTTGTCACTGATTGACCCCTCATAAAGTTGTGATAGAAATAAAACACCACCAAGTGGATCAACTCCAACCAGAGACTTGAATGTAGTATGTGATTTATAGTTACTATAGCTTTCACTATGCTTTTGAAGGRCACTAGGGACTTGAATCTTTAGTTCTGTAGCATCTATGATTATGATATTATTAGGATACTGCTCTGCAAAGGACTGAGGTAAGTTATTCAGAATTATGTCTCTATGAGGCCACACCTTTAAACAACCAAGGACAATGAACAAATAATTAAACCATGTAAGGAGTATACCATTGACAGTGCTTTCTGAAACACAAAACCTTTCTGCAAGATCAAGGTTAGTAAGTCCCATTCTTAGTTTCATCATTGTCAAGAGATATTCATCTTCTACAGACAGTTTGTGAATGAGCCTTGTTAGACAAGTTTGTGCTTCACCATAATATTCACCGCCTACACAATCATCAAAGTCTTCATTGAAGAGCTTTTCTGTGTTAATAACACGAGATTTAGCTGCATCAGTGCCCCAGTATATAAGTCTTTTCCTATCCAGTCCTGGCAATAAA